AAATATGTATAAGAAATGTATAAGAAATGTATTGGCGTTTGAAGTTTGTAATTGACTTAATATATTTGAGGTTATACTCAGTCAAAATCAGTGCCGTACATAGCAACAAAACTATTATTTATAATTAATGACCCACCAGTGGGTCATGCCGTCGTCAACGTGTTAAAATTTTCATAGGATGATGTTGTCTTGTCATTCATGAATTTGACAATTATTCTGTCACAGTGACATTAAAATTTGACTTATTGTAAATGCGAACTGTTGATTTATTTTTTTTGTTTTTTTGTATCCCGTTTACGAATTAGTATGCAGTTGGATATTTCGACTTAATTATAATATTAATTGGTGTTAACCGCTTGCGTCGCGTTTGCTCGTCGTAACTAACGGTAGACGTGCCTTATCGTTGTCAAGGTGATTTACTCTTGTTTTTCGCTGCTCGCGGCTCGTTTCGTCCGTCTGTCCGTCCGTCGAGAGATGGAATGTGTGCCGAATTATTATGAAACGTGTGCGGAGAAGCCGTTAATCGTGCGTTTCGCTCAAATATCGTTTCCAAATCCGAGCGACATCATCCAGCATGATGATGATAGCCCTTGCACCTATTCAGATCATATGATCATCTGACAATTTACCATCATCAATGGGTTTACAGCGTAAAGGAGCTGAACCGTTCGCGGTGGTCAATGCTCCTTCCTCCTTCTTCGGTTTTCGAGCCGCTTCTGCCTTCTTCGTTTTCATCGCCCATTTCACGACCTCTACGTGAAGAAATGCACGCCCCGGCCTCCATACATAATCATGCATATACCTTATTTTCCATCAAGCCACCATACAACATACAACAATTCATTAACTAACTGTCGCTGACACAGTTATTTACGCTATTTTCTCCAAATTCCCTTGACCAACCTCGATTCTCACATATCATCCATATCCGCTGTTTGCAACGATGTTAATAATCATAATATTGGTAATGCGGAATGCGGCTCCGGCGCTGGAATGTTTTTTGTGTCCGGGGAGGCCTTGGCGAATGGCACTTTGTGTTGTTGTTCGTTGGCCGCGTGCTGGTACGCTATATATTATGACTAAGCCGCGATTCGAAAGTAAACACACTCTTAGACTCGCTCGTGGCGAATTGTACCATTATGTTTCTTTTTATTGAATTCTCTCACTCTCCTCTCTGATTGCAGATCGGGACTATGATTTAGAGCTGCCCACCGCAACAATGGAACAGTGGAACACGGGCGATCTGGTCTGGTTCGACCCTGGGGTCGGCAATTGGCTGCCCGGTGAAGTCCTCGAGAGCCACAAGAGCGCCAACGTGCTCACAGTTCAGGCCGTCATCAATGGAAAAGTAAGTGCATACACACTCATACCCACCCACGCACCGTACCAAATATTACTTGTCTACATGCCAAGTAACGTGCAAAGTATTTTACTTCACGTCACCAATTTTAAATGCAATGATTGAAATATTAAAACGAACACGCAACGAACAGAAATGAACACGTACAGACAGCATCGTTTGAGTGTTGCATAAGATGTGTTATTCTTTCGCTCGCCACGCACCGGCGATTCCGCTCGCATACACACACACACACATATGCACACGCAATCCGAAACATCGCCGGATAACGGATTTTAAATAGCTGAGGTCGTACGCGATTTCGTTCAATTTGAATGCCTCGAATTCCTCGCGCAAAAGTTTTCCAGCTATCATATTTAAGTGCCTCTTATCACCTTGTCGCAATGCAACTATGGTGAAATGTCAAGAACTTGGGCGCGGTAATAATTATTTCTATTTTTGAAATACTAATGTAGTCGATGATTTCTTCAAGCACTTGTTGTTGATGATGAATGAAACGATGAATCTCAATGAATCATCAATATCTATGATTATTCGCTATTATTACTAAATTATGCATCCTAGATATACGTAAATTAAAAGTAACTAAAATATGCCTTTAGACTGAATCAAATTATCCGATTATGATCTAAAAGAAAAGAAAGAGAGAAAAAGATGATTATGATGAGGAATTTGGATTTACATAAATTATGTTTAATGGTCAAATCCGGTTCACGAACTTTGCCACCACAGCACGGCAAGCGAGCATTTTACTAATAAAATAATCCGGCCTTGACTTAACGCCGAAGTCTCTCTCGACGTGTTTTCCTTTCCGTCTGGATTTCGCGTTCTCTGCTCTTTCTTTCTTCTTTCCTTCGCCATTATCATCGCAATCGAAGATTCTTCTTTTTTTTGTTGTTGTTGTATTGTCTCGTTTCTACATTGTGGGAAAGGATTTCGCGATACGAAGAGGCACCTATCTCCACCCACACGTTGGTGGCATCATCGTCAATTGCGCAAATTGCGTCTTGTATTTAATTGCGGATTACCCAATGCGAACAAAAGGAGATACGTGTACCGAGCAGCAGCAGAAAGATGATGTTGATGACGAATGAGTAGGCCACACTCGGTGCTCGGGACAATGGGTTGCATAATAATGTCAACTAAATCATGTTTGTTTGTTGCAGCCGCAGACGTTTGCCCTCACGGGCGGTGAGGGTTCGGTCAGATCGAGGCAGGACTTGGGTCCTGGCGGGGTCGAGGACATGACCCAGTTGTCGGACCTGCACGAGGCGGCGCTGCTGTGGAATTTGAAATTGCGCTACGACCGGAACTTCATATACACGTACGCCGGAAGTATCCTAATAGCGGTGAACCCGTACCGGATGTTCGACGCCAGCTACGGCATAGAGGCAGCAAAACGGTACAGGGGAAAGATCATAGGGGCGCTGCCGCCTCATCTGTTTGCGTTGGGGGCGGCAGCGTACTCGGCTTTGCCCGCCCCCCAGGTGGTGGTCATCAGCGGGGAGAGTGGATCCGGTAAGACGGAATCCACCAAGTTGGTTATGCAGTACCTGGCGGCGGTAGCGCCGAGCGCGCCCCGCGGTCAGGCGCTCGTCACAGAGCAGATCCTGGAGGCGGCGCCCCTCTTGGAGGCGTTCGGCAACGCTCGGACGACCAGGAACGACAACAGCTCCAGGTTCGGCAAGTACCTGGAGGTGTACTTCAAGGGCGGCGCGATCGTCGGCGCCAGGATGACGCAATACCTTCTCGAGAAGTCGCGCATTGTGACGCAAGCACCCGGTGAACGCAATTACCACGTCTTTTACGAACTCCTCGGCGGTCTGGCCGCCAGCGAGAAACAAAAGTACGGGATCGTCGAAGCCGACAAATACTTTTATCTGAATCAGGGAGGTGGCGAGTGCAGTCCCGGCCACTCCGGAGCGGATTGGGGCGCCCTCACCAGAGCTATGCAGGTGCTGGGCGTCGGCGAGTCCGAGCAGGACGGGATCGTCAAGATCCTCGCCTCCGTTCTGCACTTGGGCAACGTTTACTTCCATCGCAGGCAGCTGAGGCACGGCCAAGAGGGCGTCGAGGTCGGTTCCGATGTCGAAATCAAGTGGGCCGCTCATCTTTTGCAAATTTCCCCGACCGGTCTCCAGAGAGCACTGACCACTCGCATCACGGAGGCTCGCGCTGAACGTGTTCACTCTCCGTTAAGCATAGATCAGGCCCTCGACGCCAGGGACGCCTTCGCCAAAGCGCTCTACTCGGCTCTGTTCAATTGGTAAATACTAAACATCACCGTTGCGGTTTTTAAACATAAATTAATTTCGAAATACATTTCAGGTTGGTAACCAGAGTGAATTCGATTGTTCAAAGAGGCGGATTACACGATGCCGCCAGGATCTCGCTGCTGGACATCTTCGGCTTCGAGAATCTGTCGGAGAACTCTTTCGAGCAGCTGTGCATCAATTTCGCGTCTGAATCGCTGCAGCTGTACTTTAACAAATACGTGTTTAAACTCGAGCAGCAGGAGTACGGCAAAGAGAGGTTGGAATGGACCAATTTGACGTGGTCCGATAACACTCCGGTCATCCAGCTCTTGGGCAAAAAACCGGTCGGAATTTTGCATCTTCTTGACGACGAGAGCAATTTCCCCAGAGCTTCGGACGCCTCGTTCTTGGAGAAGTGTCACTATAATCATGCACTCAATGAGAACTACTGCAGACCTCGAGTAGGCGGTAGAGAATTTGGCGTGAGTTTTTCCGTTCAATGTGAAATGCGTGAAACTAATATTAATTTGTTTCCTTCGTCAGATTCGTCATTTTGCTGGACAAGTGTGGTACTCGGTGGATGGATTTCTGGACAAGAATCGCGATGCCCTGAGGCCCGAAGTCGTCGAATTGCTCGCATCAAGTAAAGAGCCTCTGGTAAGCGGCATTGCGAAACCGCTACTCACGCAAGCCCAAACGAGGACGTTGCCCAGAGGCACGAACGGAAGATTCGTGACGATGAAACCACGAACGCCCACCGTCGCCGCCAGATTCAGTGACAGTCTTCAGCAGCTGCTGGACTCGATGTCCAAGTGCAATCCGTGGTTCATAAGGTGCATCAAGCCGAACAACGATAAATCCCCGATGCGCTTCGACATGCCCGTCGTGTTGGAGCAGTTGCGCTACGCCGGTATGTTGGACACAATTAAGATCAGGCAATCCGGGTATCCGGTGCGCATGAAGTTCTTGCACTTCGTCGAGAGGTACAGGTATCTGCTGCCAGGAAAGATACCAAGGGGAGCGCCTCTGAGGGATCTGTGCAGGGCCGTACTGGAGAACAGACCACCAACCGGAACCGCCGGCCCCGACTATCAGCTGGGAGCAAGCAGAGTGTTCTTACGCGAGGCTCTCGAGAGACAGCTGGAAATAGCGAGAGGAGATCAGCTCAGAGATGCCGCCGTTACTATACAGAAACACATGCGCGGTTATCTGGCGCGCAGAAAGTTCCTTACTCTTAAGGACAGCTCGACCGTGATTCAGAAGCATTGGCGAGGATACAAGCAAAGGCAGGATTACAGGAAGATGAAGACTGGTATTGTCAGGGCTCAAGCCTTGCACAGGGGCAGGATGGAGAGGAGGAGATTCCAGAAGAGGAAGGCAGAGTTCAAGAGACGCGCGGAGGCTGAGAAGTTGGCCAAGGAGCGAGCTCGGCAAAGAGAGGAAAGAGAGCGCGAGCAGAGGGCGATCAAAGCGCAGAGGGCGACATCCGTCCACCATTTGGAAATACCCGCAGAGTTGGCATTCATCTTCTCTAAACTGGAAAGCAATTACACCCCACCGCACACGGAGAGGAATCTGGTGAAGGTCGTAGGTGGCGTGACCGGAGGACAACCGCATCTACCGCTTCCGCACGATCTGAACCAGTTCGAATTCGCCAAATTCACGTCCGTCTACTTCAAGGGTTCCGATTTGGGCGTGAAGAAAGAACCCATCCAGACTCCGTTCCTTTCGAAAGCAGCGGCCAGAGATCAAGACTTCCAAGACGCGGTGGCTCTCTTCAAGTTGATCTTGCGCTGGAGCAACGACTCGCAACTGTCCGGCGCCAGGGAACGTGCACTGGCCGACTACATAGTACACAAGGGGCTGAGTTCTAGGGGTCTTCGAGATGAACTTCTCGTGCAATTGGTCAATCAAACGTGGAAGAATGAAAATGCAGATAGAGTTTGGCAATTGATGTCGCACTGTTTGAGCTGCTTCCAGCCAAGTCCGGCTCTCAATAAGTAAGAACATCTTTTCCAATTACTTGTACTTGTACTTACAATACATTTCATTGCAGATATCTATTGAGATATGTGACGGATCACGCGACACCCACGCACAAGGAAGTGTTGCAAAAGAAGTTGTTGAGGGGCATTCAGAAAGCTCCACATTCTAGGACTCTCCCACCGAGTTTGCTCGAATGGCGAAGCGGAAAACAAAAATCCAACATGGCCTTACCTTTGACCCTCCCAGACGGAAACGTCGCTACGGTCAGCTCTGACTCTTGGACCACCTGCGAAGAGGTACTATAATTGAGTTATATCCATATACGTTTGCAATTCATAATTACATTATAATTTCAGGCTGCCCTCTTAGCCGTGTCCTCTATGGGTGTATCATCGGACGGTTGGAGTGTCGTCCTCGACGATGCCGGTGCTTTAACTGACTGCTCTGGCCTTGACTACATCTTCGATTTGGTCTCTGAACTGGAACTGTGTCCCGCATTCCCAGCAACTCGTTCGCAGCTGCTTAAAACCGGTGTGAAGAATTATTCACCCGTAGAGGTCGACCATCACATTGTGCGACCTCAAGTCCCACCACCCGAACCACCGACCGCACGCAAAGTCTCCACCTCGCCAAACCCAATGACCTCGTCGCGAAAATCATCCCGCGATTCTCAATACAATCAGCAACCGAGAGATAGTAGCACTCCGGCGAGGAAGAGTTCTCACGAGGCGCTATCGAGGAATTCGGCGTTGAACGAGAGGTACTTTGATATAGAGAAAGTTCGCTCGAGGAGTTTGGATAATTTGCTGAGCGAACCGGAGCCGCCGTCGCCGTTGGCCGATCTCGGTCTGAGTCAATCCCGATTGAATGATCGTTACCACTCGGTAGAACAATTGGCCCCCATCAAACCAGTCTTGGCTAATTCCAATTACAAGCAACAGGAGATCGAATTTGAATATCCCGATGTGTCCAGCATCAGCACCAGCAACAGAGGCGGACCCAGGTATATTAAATCGCAGTACAGCGGGAAGAAGGCGCCGCCCGGATCGCACTCTAGTCGGGCGCAAATCGAGAAATCCGAGTTCGGAGGTGTTCGAAGCTCGGCGATGTCCGATACCAGTGAAGCCCCTAGTCTGGCCAGTCACGTGAGGAGGGTGCGAGTACCCAGTCAGGCCTCTGACGTAGATCAGTTCTTGGATGAATTGTTCAGTCCCGTGTTGGACGGCAATTTGGATGAACTGAGCGACGCCCGTTCTTTGGCTGCCAGCATCAAAGGTGGACTAGGATCTGATATTTTAGACGATTTGGATATCGTAAATCCTGATTTGGATATGAGCGATGCGAGATTGATTGTTTCGAAGATTAAAGGTGGTGGAAATAGGAACAGGAGCAACAGTCAGGGCAGTTCGATGTTAGATCAGGAAGTGGAAAACATCACGCAAGGAACGAACAATGATGAGCGCCAAAGGAACGGCGGCGGCGGTAACGTCGACGATTACATAAGCGATCTGTTCAGGCCGATTTTCATCAACGATTCAATCAAGAATTTGACGGAGAAACATAACTTGGTGGAGAGCATCAAAGGAGGCGGAACCACGCATCAACCGAATGCCACCTCGAGTTCCGGGTACAATTACAACGCGCCCGTCGTCAGTCCGCAGATGATGCCCATGCTGGGATCACCGCAAGAGAGTTTCATGCCGATGTTCAACATGCAATTGCCGCCGACCGGTGATATTGCTTCGTACCAGCAGAATCTGCAGAGGGCCTTCCTGCAATCCGCGATGGCCCAGAACATACAGATTCAGCAGCAACTGTTGGCGCAGAACCAAGCGCTTCAACAGCTGCTAACCCAGCAGGCTTCAGACGCGGCCAAAGAGACGACCACCACGTCGTCGTCGTCGTCTTCGACGATCACCACGACTGTTAAAGCTCAAATCCATCAAGCGCCTGTGAGTCCGAACCGTAAGACTAGTTTCAACAAAAACTCCAATTTCAGCTCGAGAAAGAGCTCTTCGCCGAGTGATTATAAGATCCGAAAGGCCAGCACCGAGTCCACTATGAGTAATATGAGCAGCAGAGTACCGCCGCCGCCGCCCATGCCACCGCCATTGGACGGAAGTGAATCGGAGGCAAGGCCGTTTTTGGATCCGTATGGAAGGGCGAAAACCGTGCGCATCGGCAAATGGAGATGGCCTCCACCAAAAGACGGCACCAACGTTGAGAACGGTGAAGATTTTATGCAATTCAAGTTGCGTCAACATCACAGGAAAATCACGCCGAGCAACGGACATCCGTCCGGAGAATGGGAAGAAATAGAGTTCGAGTCCATTAAAGAGCCGGAGAAGGTGTCGAAGTCTTCGTCGAAGCGCAGCTTCGACATCGGCGCCAATAGACCGTCACCTGGCAGCGTTGGTAAATTGAAATTGTCTTCGGAGATGAGGCAAAGGTTGGAGCAGGTCACCGCCAATCACTCGGTGCGCTCCACTTCGAGTAAAGTGGACAAACCGGCGAGGACAATCAACAAGTTGGAAGACACCCGAAAGATGATGCTGGAGCAACAATTGGCCGGACGTTGGGGCGATTCTGTGGACGAGTCGAGTTCACCTCCCAGTCCGATAATTCCGCCTCAACCAAAATCACCGACTCAATCGAGTTGGGCTAGTTCCAGTTGGAAGCCAGGACCACCTCCGCCACCGATAGGTCCTTTGCCTCCAGCACCGTCTGGTCCTGCGCCTCCACCACCGATAAGACCTCTTCAGCAGCAACATCAGCCGCAACAACAGCAGCAGCAGTCGCAACCGCCTGCTCCTGTTGAGCCTCGCGTCGAGTCCTTCATGGCGCAGAGGCAAGATCGTGATACCTTCGGCGTGCATCAGAACAGGAATTCGATGATGAATCTGAGTTCCAAACGCAACTCGTTCAGCGCCAATTGGGACATCCAGAGCTCCGTCACGCAGGACACGCAGGAGGAGGAAGAGAAAATCATCGAGACGAGCAGACGGGATTCGTGGGACGAACCGGATCTCGGCGAGAAACGCAGCAAGATCAATCCTCTGTTGAACGATCGATGGGATCTCGATCCGAAGCCGAAGATGATGATGATGATGCAGCAGCAGCAGCAGAGCGATACACCGTCGGAACGACCGACGTTCCGTACGCACCAATTCAGCAAAGCGGAAAAGGAACGCGAGAAGAAACATTCGGTCAGCACCATCAACACCGAGAAGATGGACGAGTGGCCGGAGTTCATGAGACCCATTAAAACGCCACCGGTCTCGAAGTCACCCGTACCAGAGAGCTCGCCGAAGACGGGATCCAGACTACTGCCGTTGGGCGCGCCCGCCTGCGTCACGTACAACAGGGTTTCCTGGTTGCTGAGGGTCAGAAAGGAGGTCTTCACGCCGTCGGAACCTCTGGGGCCGCCGTCCACTTTGCATTTGATCTTCTGTCAGATCGCTGCGGACGCGTTCGGTCTCACCACCTGCATCCGTCTGAGCCAGAGCGAGAGACGAGCCGGCGTCGCTATGCTCAACGGATACGGCGTCACCTCCGACAATTTCAATACGCCGCATCGCGCAAACATCAAGAGGAACGTCATAGACCTTGCAAGGACTTGGCCCCTCTACTTCTCCAGATTCTTCCAGGTCTCCGGAGCCGCACAGGTAAATCGATCTGTTACCAACATCAATACTCGTAGACTAATTGTTAATTTTTGTCGCAGCTATCCGAGGTTCAGTTGCTCGCCGTCAGCCATTGGGGTGTGCACCTGGTGAAATCCGATGGAGGTAATCTGCAGGTGATCCGTAGCATCTCGCTGAGCGAGATCTCGTCGTGCACGGCGCCGCGACCGACGTCGGTGAGCTTGGAGGGTCCGCAGGGTCGCGTCTCTCTGCACACGACCCGCGCCCAGCAACTCTCGGAGATGGTCTCCAAGTACTGCGCGGAGAATAGAAAGGTGAGTTCGATTGTTCCCTTCCCTTCTTGGAGATGCTCTGATTATCTCGCGCTCATTTACAATTGATCTGGTCAGGTCAAACAGACCATGGCGCGCAGTGCGGATCTCTTAAAAATTCATCGTTCAATTAACGCGCAGATATGATTAAGAAGACAGCTCATTAAGTTGCTAATTGCGTCGGGCAGTAGCGCACCGCTCGACCAATCATAAATAAGCAAGGCTAGAAAATAAAAAAATAAAAACAGTAAATTCACGTTTTCCATTAGAACAAAATGAAATCGCATGGGAACATATATACATACATCTACTTGCATTTTGTAATGATCTGCAATCACGAGAGTGCAGATTTAATGAATCATTTTGCGCCTTGCTGGCGGCTTGGGTGCGCGCTCCACGGAATGCCAAGTGCACACACACACATAATAATTATTACTATATTTGCTCCACCGTTTTTTTTTAATTTTTCTTATTCACTCAAAGACAAAGTAAGAAACTTAAAATGTTATAATTAATTATCAATGAGAATGCCGTTAGCAATTCGGTCAAACTTTAATTACCAATTTTATGGTGGACTTGCATGCGTACACATATGTGTTCAAACGAAACGAGGAAAGAGAAAATGCATTAAGCGAATTAATAAATTCATCAATTTAGTTATTAGTTTTCTAGGACCGGTTAAAAGTCTATTGCTCAATATTACGAAGAGACACGATCTTGGTAAAACGTCGCCACCAACCTGTTGTTGTTTGCTCACCACAATTTCCATAACAACGCATAAAAACGAAAACAAAAAAAAATCCAGCCATGACGACCACTAACTAACTAATGCGCATCATTTTTTTTTCAATTTTTACTATATTTTATATTCAAAACAATAATTGAGTTTTGCAAAAGAAGTTACAGAAGACGAAATATGTTTTCGGTTGTTAAGAAAGTGCGGTTTTCTACTGCGCGAGAAAATAATGAGCAATTAGAGTAGACGATCGGAATCCGCTAATTGAATCTAGCTTTAATTTCTCTTTTGGTCGCGTGCGCTTCATAAAAAAAAAACAAAACCCCAACCAATATATATTTATATATTTGTAATTGAAGCAACAAAATAAGACCTCGAAACGCGTTGAGGGATGATGGAAGAAGCAAAGTTTGTTGCCTCTATTAGCTTTACGTTTCGCTTAAAGAGGAAGGAAGTGCAACGCGCGCGCGCGTTTATTATGATTATTATTACGTAGAATTATTAAGGATTTTTTTTCTTCATCTCGCATTAATTTGTGCGTACGAGTGTGACCCAGATAATTGCTCAATGGTCAGTTGTGGGTCAGAACTATTAGAGCTTGATCTGGGTCCGTTCGGCCGTCGTCGGCCTTCTGCTGGCTTTACCGGTGCGAAGCGTTTTCTGGGGAAAGAAGGAAAGAGGAAGCGCGAAAAAGGAGGAAACGTTAAAAGAAAGAAGAAACGAGAAGAAGGAGAAGGAGAGGAGGTGTTGGAGGTCGCTCTGCGGTCTGGCTCTCAGAGCCGATGCGAAGGTCGGAAGATGAGCATCACCAAGAGCTACAGAGCTGCCTCCCTCGACAGCCTGGCCAACTCGAACACTGAGAGTCTGACCACCCTCAGCGACGACTCCGACTGCGATGTGAGCCCTTTCGAGCCTCTCTGCCGCACCTGGGCCAACAACAACAATAACAACGGCAAGGGTTGCTCCGACAACAACGAGTCCTCCTACGAGTACGTCGCCAATGACAACAAGCGCATGGAGACGATCCCGGAGGAGAACGAACCGAAGGTCTCCGTCAAGGAAATCCTGGCCCGGTTCGAAAATTTGCGCGGCCGTCGGGAAAAACAAAAGATGATCATCGAGCAACAGCAGCAGCATGATCTAAACAACAACAACAACAATCAAGAGTGCATTAAACAACTGCAGCAGCAGCAGAAAGAAACGACGATCTCCGTCGATATCACCGAATCAAACAACCGGCCGAATCAGCAGGAGCAAATGCATATTCCGCCGGAGGTTTTGGATAATTTTAAGAGTTGCAGTGACGAATTTAATAGCAATAGTGTGAACAGCAGCAGCAACAACAACAACAAACGCAGTGAGGATAGCAAAAAGCAGAAACACCATAAAAAGGACGACGACAGGAAAGAGGTATTTAGATCATTAGCGCGTTGCTAAGGTAATCCGTAATCCATTAAAGCGACGCGCACTCTTCACAAATTCATTGCTTTATATACACTATACATCATTTAAAAAAAAAAACGGCAAACACTTTTGAGAAATTTAATTAGCTTTTTGCGGTGATTTCACCGCTGAAGCCGAAAGTGTTTAATATTTTAATGGACCAACTTAACGATCCATTAGCGTTTCCTCCATTGTTCGAAAGCAAAAATCAATTGAATTGTTAAAAACATCGCGACACTACATCCGCAAATTCTTTTTGGAAAGGTCAAATTACATCTAAAACCGGCTAAAACACGTTGCATGACAAACTTGTTCGTTTTGAAACTAATTATTGTTTAATTTCTAAGAAATTACGTCAATTTTAACGTCGCACCAAACAAAAAAAAAAAAGAAGAAGCTAAACGAGTCGTGTTTGAAGAGAAAAAGTTTTTAGATACATTTTATTTTTACATTTTGATTACGTGAACGTTTACGTAAGTCGTGAAGAAGCGTTGCGTATTAACACTCTGTAGTTGTCCAGAGAAAGTGCTCACTACTGAATCTACTACCAAAAAGTCTTAAAAGAAACGACACGAAATCATTGCCAAGAAAAAAATATTATTTAGTATAATTTATTATTGTTTTCTTTCCTCTTCGAATGTTGTTAATTGCGTTTTCAAGGATTTAGCAAAGTGTTTTTTTGCCGTTGTTATTGTCTTGGCTGTATTAACAATTGATCGTAACGTCTCGGTGGTGGAGAGGAGAGGAGAAGAGCATCAATGTCATCGTTTCAAATAACGCGAGTTGTAATAGAAATGGAAGGAAAATGAAGAGAACGACGAACAAACAAATCTTTTAGCGCAATTAGTTTGCATAATGCATTATGCAACGGTGAACGCCGCGACCGACGACCAAAATTGCGCAATGTTCTTAAGTACTAATAGTAATAATAATCGCATTATATCGAGCATTTTCCAATTAATACAACGAACGCACGGTAATTTGAGATCGATGAAAGTAATTGAGGAACAACGCAGACGGACGGACGGACGGAATCGATTAATTAATGAAATACATGAAGCTTTTCAACGGGTCCACGTTTCCTGCTCGCGCTCACGGTAAAACCAAGGAAATTCCTTTCATTAATCAATTCAACTCAACTCTACATCTTATTTCTCTTAATTTTCTTTTCGCGTTTTTCGGTGGTAATTCTACAAGCCATATGGGCCCCAACGATCCGGGTTGTTGCACTCAACGCGCCGCACCGCTTATGCAGATTGTCCATGCAAAATGGCACTAAAGTTCCCGGTTCGCGATTACAGTAATCGGCGCTTGATATAACCGTACGCGCGAACGAACAGCGATGGAAAATCAAAATCGAATTTCCAATTTCCATCGACGCGATTAAAAGTGATGGCAAACAATGTTTCCCGTTGCTGGCAATGATGAATCGAATCTATTGCTCTCCTTATGTTTTTTTTTTCTTTTGCTATTTTGTTCAATGTGTCTTGCACGCACCAAACCAATAACGGATTCGTCGCATCTGACGTTTCGTTGTGCAAATTTAACGTTGAGTAATTGGAACGCATTTGATGAATATATTTGTTGCTATGGCAATAGTTACCAAGTGATATTAATAATGTTGTATTTTGATGAAAATGTTTACATTTGGAATTTCCCATGGACGGTGTGTTACGTCCATTCCAGGATTGTTCTCAAGCTTAAGATGGAATGAAAAAAGTGTACGATTTAGAGTATTGGCAAATATCCATTTTACTTAGCGTCGCGCTTTCCCACACTTTCAATTGAGATCTCGCAAGTGCGCTTTTAACGAACTCGTCAAATTTAATTGGCGCAGATCGTCCGCGAAATTTCAAAAACTTTGCAAAGTACAGCGGATTTTTTTCTAACGCGATTTCTAAACGATCGATCAATCGATAGATGTACCAACGTTATCCGGTTTTTCCTTTGCCGGACTTTTCTTTCACCAATTTTCTCTTCCACGGAAACTTTCTCTGCGCATCTACTGCCCCGTCGCCCTTTTACGTCGACTACTGCGATTCAATCACCCTGTGAACATTTTTTTGTTTTTTTTTATATTGATTTAGTGTTGTTGTATGTTATTGCCATTTCTTCTTCGCATCCTCTCGCTCCTTACCTTTAATGATGAGTATCGGGAATGGAAAGTGAGAGCGATGAGCGTTCTTATTTTCGCCATAACGATAATCGCGCGCGCACTTTTAATTAACTGCCCAGTTTCGAAGCGAAATCTGCGCGTATGGAATGTTTTCTATTTTATATAGTAGTGACATTTGCATATTTGACTTATGTCACTTTGACGTAACGCTTTGACGTTTCACATGTTAACAACTTTGCGTTTGTTTTCAGATGCAGAGCAAGTCACCGGTGCATCAGAGGGTGATGTCGCCTCAATCGCATCCTTCTGGGCCGACGGGTGGAGGAGGAGGTGGAGGCCCGGTCGGTGCGACGTCGGGCGTGTCCATGATGATGATGCAAGAGCAGCAGCGCATGGAGATGTCGTCTTCGCATCAAGCGCAGGGCATGGAAAATGTCCATCACCAGGAGAGCAGCAGGACGATGCAACGCAACAGCATGCCGACAAATTCGAGTCCGCAACCGCCCACCGGCAAATACTCGCTCATGCAGTTCGCCCTGCAAAACTTCAGGCAGAGCACAGAGTAAGTTCGCATTATTATTATTAACACGTTAAGGACGGCGCTTTTCGGGTTACCTGCCCCCAAAAAAATTTTCGTGAACGCCTATGGACTGACAGAAACGTCAAATATCTTACGTCAATTATAACGTTTAAACGTTTAAATTTTTCTTATACATTTTTTAATGATATTGAAGGAATTTATAACAATTGTGGGAAAAATATTGAAATTTTCANTCGAATATATCATCTTGTGCTCTAAGCTTGTATTGTATTTGAATAAATTAGCAATGTTTTTTTTAGAAACAGAAATAATATCTGCATCTGATAATCATATTGTATTTTCAATGCCTTTGCGTTTCGATTACGAAGATTGAGAAGCGGCAAGTATGCCTAAATTATGTCACAATATCACGTATTGTTCTAAATTGCTTCAAGAATTATTAAAATATGTATAAGAAATGTATTGGCGTTTGAAGTTTGTAATTGACTTAAGATATTTGAGGTTATTCTCAGTCAAAATCAGTGGCGTCCATAGCAACAAAACTATTATTTATAATTAATGACCCACCGGTGGGTCATGCCGTCGTCAATGTGTTAAATTAGCTTTAGGCAACTCGTTGAACAAATTATGAATTTGTATGGTCTCTGACATTTCCCCCATTCGCATGATGAATGGAATCCTAATTAAGAGTCTAACGACGACGATGATGTTATTAACGCGGTCGCTGATGATGATCGTCGCGGTCGGCTGGTCTCCTTCGTTATATTATTTGTAAAGAAATGGATAACCTTAAGACGGGAATCCGCGGCCTCCTCGAACGAGCATGGTATGATGTTGATTATGATGATGATGATCGTGGGCATTGTGGAAAATTAGAAAGCATACGATAGATGGCATTCGAAATTGCTATACGTCTGGCGGCGACGTCGTCGTCGACTTTGCGCGAATTTTACAATTTGTCTTGTTAATTCCAACTATGTCCTTTCTTTTTGATTTCTATTATTCGCTCGTTTGAAATTCGACGCATCGTACGGCGCGATCATTTCGGAATTTCGTTTCTCTATTATTTACGAATTAGTATTAGTATTTCATTTTGCATCGAACGCAATTGAGCGATAAATAAATGAAGGAATACATCGAAAATGATGAAGCGAATGATGAGTGTTGCATTTAGGATGCAGATATCGCGATTGAAATTTCTTTGCGGCCGCAACTGGATCGCGTTTTCCGTAAGACTTTTCGAAACATCTGCTACGCGCGCGCCTATATACAGTTTCACCTTTGCACAACGTCCTCTTCTCCGCTCTTGGCTGTTGCCGGGCAACCGAACCGAAAAATATAAAAAGAAAAAGTTGATGATCGATTTTCGTGTCCTAACTGTTGCTGTTGCTGCTCATGCTACTGCTTAATCGTGTGTGCGTGTGTGCAGATTTCAACTTTGTCGATGTTGTTTTCGGGTTCAAATTCGTCGTCGTTGGCCAATATAAAAAAAAAATGGGTTGGCGATCGCGTTGAATGGAAAGGAAAAGTTTGGTTTCCCACGCGAGTGAAACGCGCCCAAACGGAGGAGAATCATAGCGCGTACGAACAATAGGAAAGAAGAAGAAGAATAAGAAAAAGAGGAAACGTCGTGTTATTGTTATTATATGCGCGTGCAGAGAGCAAAAAAAAACAAAACCGAACACAAAGAAGGATCGATTCATTCGGGGATCCGAGGTCGACCCGCGAAGAACATGATCTACTTCCACGACGATTACGTGAAGCAGTTCCATAGATCAGCATCAAAGTTCGATGCTGGGAAATGTTTCGATCTATACGAGAGGAGGTTGCACTTGTCGTATTGGCTGATTTTGGATCATATATACTGATTTTGGATTTTTTTTTTTGTTTCTGCTTGCTGCACACAGGTTGGAGCTACTGAAGATGGACTCATCGCTCAAGTCGAAGGAGAAGCGGAAGGAATGGACCTGGAAGCAGCAGACGGATCTGATCAAGTGGCAGCAGAGTCCCATCGAGGGTCCATTGTTGAGGCACGAGGACCCGGAGCTCTCGATGTTGGCGACCGAGTGCTTCGAGTGCATCCTGCGGTACTGCGGTGATCTCCCTCTGACACCAGAGATGTCTGAAGTCAAATGCGTTTACACCGTTCTCATGGTAAGTCATCACTACACTCTTAAACTACAGACAAGTTGGCAAATATCGCATCTCATGTAAATACGCAATTGAAATTAATCAATTCACTTTCTTTACTTCACTTTACTGATGAAGAATACCAATTACATATCGATTCGAAAAGCCGGAACTATTTCCATCTTTATTATTTAAATTGAAATTAAGATCTTAATTTTTCATTCGCATTCAAATAATTAACAATAATAATTATATACTTATCATACTTTCTTTTTCAATTCTATCCGATCTATCATTAGTCAGCAGTTTGTTAAATGTTTCTCCTTATATACGCTAGTATACGTCTAAGTATTTTTTTTTTGGTAAATTGAATAGCAGCAATTATAATAAACACGCTTTCTTTAGAAATTAATTTTTGATTCTTGGAAGAGGCAGGTCAAAATGCAAGTGTACAATCACAAACGGACGCAAATTTTTGTTTAATATTCTCCCACGAATTACAATGGAAAAAGGAAATAAATTTGATTAATTGCATTTGATGTCAATGAATTTGTATATTTGCTACAAATAACTTTCACTAATTAGTTGTTTCGTTGCTTTGTTCATTCAATACGTTATACACTATGCGAAATGTGCCAATTAATTTGACGATTTTTATTAATTTGAAAAATTATGAAAGAGTAGAAATGATTTTGATTGCATTCGTTTGTTAACGTGTGTTTGCAGCATTGTCACAAGCATTTCCCGTTGCGCGACGAAGTCTATTGTCAACTGATGAAGCAGACGACGAGCAACAAGTCGGATTCGCCCGAGTCGTGCCAAAGGGCATGGCGTTTGCTGTCGATCATCGCAGCGTACTTTGCGTGCTCCGACGTCCTGGGGCCCTTCCTTACGGAGCATCTGAGCAGCGCGGCCTCGGACAGGAGGAGGTTGTGCCACGGTACGGCCGCCGTCTGCTTGTCGAACCTGAGGAAGACGCAACGGTGCGGCGGTAGAAAGAACGTGCCGTCCGTAGAGGAAGTGACGGCGGTGAGCGCGGGTCGCAGCGCCCGCAGGCAGATCTACCGACTGCCTGGAGGTGCGGAGCGCGTCGTAAACACCAGGTGCAGCACCGTCGTCGCGGACGTGATCAACGAACTGTGCGGTCTGATCGGCGTAGCCGGCGAAGATGAGCAGCAGGAGTTCAGTCTGTACTGCATAGTGCAGGGTGATGCGTTCACGATGCCGCTCGCCGCCGACGAGTACATCCTCGACGTAACAACCGAGTTACACAAGGCCGCGCAGCCCTTCTACCTGATCTTCTGCCGATCAGTGTGGTACCACAGTCTGAAACACGATGCTAGTCCCCTTTACACCGAAGTGCTCTTCAATCAAGTGGCGCCCGACTACCTGGAGGGTTTGCTGCTGCGGCTCGGCAACCCCAACCTGCCGCCTAGTATTGTTCGCGACATGGCGCTGATCGCCGCCCTCCTACACAGGGCAGCCGATCTGAATCACTCGCCCAACCTGAAGGAAGTCAAATTCCTGCTGCCGAAACCGGTCCTTGGTCTTCGCGAGCCCAGACCACCGCAGTGGTTAGCGCTGGTGCAAACCAGTTGGGCGCAAGCGGCACCGTTGACCGTCTCCAGGGCTAAACACCGCGTCCTGCAAGTGCTCTCCAATTGGCAGCTGTTCGGCAGCTCGTTCTTCGCGGTGAAACGCGTGACCGGAGAGGTGGACGGTGGTGGCGGAGGTGCCGGGTGGCAGGAGCACATCTTGGCGCTCAACAGGAACGGCGTTCACTTCCTCGACATGACCACGCACGAGGCGCTGCAGCACTGGCCGTTCGCCGAGGTCATATCCACCAGGAAGGTGCGATCAGAGGACGGCGCTCTCTTCCTCGACATGAAGTGCGGCAATCTGCTGCAGCAGAGGGTCACACGTCTGCAGACCGAGCAGGCGCATGAAATCTCCAGGCTCGTCCGGCAGTACATCACGCTCGAGCAGGCGAGTGCCACCAGGAGTCCCAAGCAGTAAATGAGATTTTCATTGAAATTCGATTTTTGTAAATAGTTTTATTACCATTAATTAAGTCCATCATATTATTATTATTATTATGTATATTGTACTGTATTATTATTATTATAATTATTGAATTCATCGTTTGGTCCGAATTCGATTGTTTTCGGACAAAACGAATTCGGCCCACCTCGATCCTTATTATATTTTATTATATTATGTATAGAAGAAACGGACGGACGGACGGACGAATCTCCATCCTCTCCACTTTTATTTTTATTATTATTTGTTCTTCTTGCGGGCGATCGGCGGTGGTGGTCATACGATATACACCAGCAACCCCGGCCTCCCGCGACGACGACGACCCTTCTTTTTTTTTCTATAATTTCTACTGTATTATATATATAAATGACACAAACACACACACACTCACTCACATCCATATATATATATATATATATTTTCTGTTTCTGGTGAAAGCGATGTTATTACTTTTTGTTTTTTTTTTACTCAGCAAAGAAAAATATTAATAAATATTTAAATTTTACAAAAAAAAAAAATAATGTAATAGCAAAATATACTGAACGTCCACAACCTTCACAAATCATGTTTACATTCCCCAAATATCCAAGTTTCCAATGGATCCAATCTCATTGCATACTTTCTAAGAAAATCAATGAAATGTGTTGACTATAATAGTTTCATATGCATCTTCTGGATCCATTCCGAGAAAATCACTATAAATTATGAAAACATTGCTTTTTCGAGTGTTCATTTTTCATTTCAACTTTGGTCGCAAATTACAGCCAAACGGATGAAACCACAATAATATATCGATACTAGCTAGATTCCACAAACATTCAGCTTTCATA